ACACTGTATGCTTCCCGGGAAGCTGAGAATGTTTCGGAGTGTTCTATGGTCTGCTGGGGTAATAATATAGTGTAAAGCGCATAGAGCCTGCTGTTGAGCGGGGATATGCGCTATACAAATGCTATATATTATATTATATTATATTATTATTACATCTTCTGTCATTCCATTTTATCTTCTCTCATTCCGTTTCATCTTCTCTCATTCTCTTATATTGTCTCTCATTCCATTTCATCTTCTCTCATTCTCTTAATTCTTCTCTCAATCCATTTCATCTTCTTTCATTCTCTTAATTCTTCTCTCATTCCATTTCATCTTCTTTCCTTCTCTTAATTCTTCTCTCATTCCATTTCATCTTTTTTCCTTCTCTCATTCCATTTCATCTTCTTTCCTTCTCTCATATCGTCTCTCATTCCATTTCATCTTCTTTCCTTCTCTTACATCGTCTCTCATTCCATTACATCGAAGTGAGGACTAATAAGTGCACAAAGAACAGCCTGGGACAGCTGTCAGGTTTTTCAAGAGAGAAAGTGACAATGACGTTGCCTTTTGCACTTTTTCTCCTATTGCTTTCCTTGTCCTTAACTCTTTGATTCCGGATCGCCACTTAAGTGACGTTTTGGGGTACTGATTTCGTCAACCCCAAGATCTGAATCTATTTTCACGCATATTGCGATTTTCTGTACTGTTACGAATGGTTTGAGTGCTCACACAAACGAATCCATCAATATTTGACTGAATTACAGCCGTTTTATGATAACACCCTTCGCGCCTTGGTGGGTAAAATTGCAGAATCCCCTGCGTATTGAAAGAGTTAATGTCAGTGAAGAGATTGCTGCCATTCTTCTTACGTTAATCCCACAAGACGGGTGAAAAATCTAGATGATTCTACTAAGCGTTACGACATCGGTTTGTAATAAAGTTTTCATCAGCCCCGCTCTTTTTTCTCTCTTTTCTTTCAGACTTATCCTCCAGGCTTCAAGAACTCCGCCGACCAGATGGAACCACTCACCAAATCGGCAGCCAAGTTCGTGACTGGGTAGGTGGACTCTTGGTGCGGGTGGTTGGCAGGTGCTCTGGTGTGGTTTGCTTTTTCTTTCCTGTCGAACATCTATCGTTTTTTTTATCTCCCCTTCTTCTTTTTTGTGTTTGTTACTCCCTTGTAATTGTAACACCTCTGATCTTCGGCACTTATATGACCTTATTGTGTTGCAAGTGCCGTAAAACTCTTACTAAAACTAAAAGGGACTCTTGGTGTCATGTTCTACTGTAGTGCAAGTGGCCTGGGTTCTAGTCCTTTAATGGGGTTTCTAGAACTTTGTGTGGATTGGGATTGGGGGGGGGGTTGGTTCTGTTTTCTTTTACTACGGAGCTCAGTTTTACCAGATGAGAGTGTGGGTGGTTGGAGGGTGTTACTGGTACGTATTCCTTCTCCCTTTACTTACCCTCTGTTGCTTCTCTGTCTATTTATCTTTCTTAGTTTGTGCAGCCACAGAAAGATTTTCCTCTGGGACAATAAAATATCTTTTCCTATTCCTTTCCGTCTGCACCGTGATTTACTCCATAGGCCAAGTAGGTTCACTCTTTTTGGATTTTTTCCTCATCATTTACTCAATTAATAACATGAAGAGGCTAGCCCAGGATAGAGAAAAGTGGAGGGTGTTTGTCCGTGGCCTATACCCTGATGCAGGTTGAGAAAGGCAATGATGATGATGATGATTTACTCAATTTCCATGCTCTTTTCAGTTGACCTTTCGTTGTTTCCAATGTAATCTTAATTTTTTTCCTCTCACCTTCTTTCCTTCAGAGTAAAAGCCTGCGTGTGTATGTGGAGTACTGTGCCAACCAAATCAAAGCTAAAGCCATCTTTGACGAGAAGAAGAACGAGCCTGCCATCGACGACTTCTTTCAGCGGTGTCTTGCCTCTCCCTTCAGCAGAAAGCTGGATTTGTGGACGTTACTTGGTAAGTTCCCTACGTAAAGCTGGGTTGTTGTTTGATTTTTCAGGGGAGGAAGGGAGGGGGGGATATGAGGATGAGGATACATTACAAGGAGGTTGATTTTTAGGGGAGGAAGGGGATGGGGATATAAGGATGAGAATACAAGGAGGTTGTTCATGTATTTTCTATTGTAAGAGTCATTTGCAGAGGAACTGTAGCTCTGAGTGAGTTCTTGGAGAAGGATAAGAAGAGTCAAGAGTTAGTGGGAAACCACACTGGACTTTGTTGAAAGTATCATTCTTCAAGTTTATGCACTGGTGCATTAAAAAAAAACTTCTTCATTCTTTGAACACTACTAAGAATTTTGTATCTCATTGGATGGCCGTCTTGTGCCATTTCAAATTGTATTTGTACCTGGCACGTTATTTCTGTCTGCGGGTTGGCTTATTGGCGTTCAAGTCTTCATTTTGTAACACTCTCATCCTGTCTCTCTCTCCCCAGACGGAGCCAGAGGTCGCTTTGTCAAGTACCCTCTCCTGGTCCGCAGCATTCAGAAATATGTAAGTATCTCGCTGTAACCGTTACCTGTTTTGTTTGTTTTCAGTACAGTCCAATCTGCTCACTTTGGTTGTCCTGTTTAATATTTCTGGTATTTGTCTTGGTCTGTCTCACTTTTGGTGTTTACTATTTAACGTTTCTATTACAATGTATTTTTGTATCTGTCTGTCTCACTTTTTGTTTTTACTATTTTTAATGTGTCTGTTGTTTCTATCAGTCTGTCTCACTTTACTGTTTAATGTGTCTGTTGTTTCTATCAGTCTGTCTCACTTTACCGTTTAATGTGTCTGTTGTTTCTATCAGTCTGTCTCACTTTACTGTTTAATGTGTCTGTTGTTTCTATCAGTCTGTCTCACTTTACCGTTTTATGTTTCTGTTGTTTTTCCCCTATCAGTCAGTCTGTCCTAACTTACCCCCTGCCCTAAAGGACATTCAGTATTATGCCAGTGTGCTTTTCTTTACCTAAATGAACAGAATTTCGAGTAATCTGAGTCTGCCTGGAATGGAACTGTGAAACTTCATAATTGTGTTTTAAATATTCAGTCAAAAATCTTTTACAGTGCCATCTGTAACAACCTTGTTTTTCTTTCCACAGACTCCAAGCGACAGTGATGACTCAATACACTTAGAAAAATCGGTAAGTGCCTTCTTTTTTGTGTTTTTTTCCCCGTGTCTATGAAGCAGTTTTTCAGAAAACGTGATTATTTTGTTATTATTTTGTGGCTTACATGCACTGAATGTTTTCTTTTTGAAAAAGTTCCTTCTGAATTTGACATTACTTAATTTAGTATCACAAAGTAAAATGTATTGATGCACCCTCGCATCAAGTAACGGTCACTGTGTCAGCGTGTTTCTTTTACCATCGTCTATTTGTTCAGAAGTTAGATGCTTTGCCGTTGCACACAGAGGAAATAAGTTCGACTCTCGAGTGAGGAATTTAAAAAAGAATCAAGTACCTTCGTCTGTCAGCTGGGGCATTGTATCCCTGTCAGTCTGGGTTGGTTGGCCCACCTGGCTGAAGTGAGGAAAGTTCGTGGAAAGTGCCTTTCCCAATGACACTACTGTCCCCAAACAAAGAAGTCTACGACATCACTATATTTGATCGCCTTTAAGGACAAGCGGGCTAACTCAGATTTCGGGGGTTTCTTCCAGAAATCTTTACCTGCACTAAAAGTGGGCATTGCCCTACCTATAGGAGAAGTTTGGTTTGATTGGTGTGTATATTTGTTTGGGTTATAGAGAAAACTCTCCTAGTCTTTTACTGAACAAGTGGCGAAAACTTTACCGTTGATTTTCTCAAAACAGCATTTTTCCGGATAGCCCCCTTGTGCTTAATTAACTCTTTGCCGCCTCATGTCGCTGATTGGCGATGTTTACCACCCAGTTTCTTTGCATTTTCCCCAAAATACGATGGTAGAGCGTTAAAAGCGACCGATTGTAACCGTGGTGTGTGTGTGTGTTTCAGGTGCATCAGCTGGAGGAGATCATCAAAGAGGCAGACCACAAGACGGGCCAGGCCAAGTGCGAACATTCCAAGTCCAGTCTGCACTACCTGTTTGACGACCAGGTGACCACCTCACGCTAAATAGTTTGGGCACGGGGAAAGTGAAAAGCACTTGCAACAGTTGCACAATAGTTTTCTTTTGGGTATTCAAAAGAAATCTTGGATCGAACCTGCTGTCAGTCAGAATGCTTTTTACTGATAGGATTAGATATCTTCATCTTCATCATCGATATCATCATCATCATCATCATCATCATCATCATCATCATCATCATCATCACCATATTGTTGTTATTATTATTATCATCTTCATCATAATGTTGTTATCATTTTGATGATGATGATGATTATTATTATTAGCATTATTATTATCATTAGCATTATTTTTTAAATCATATTCATCACTATTATTATTATGATGATGATGATAATTATAATTATTATCATTAAATTATTATTGTTATTATTGTTATCACCGTCATCATTGTTGTAATATAATGTAATATAATATTTATCATTGTTGTTATGATGACTAATTACAGTGTTTTGTGTACTATTTCAGAAAGTGGCCCAGATCCAAGAGTCGTCGGCCCTGCTGTGTAGTGGCTGCATGAAGAACAACAAGAGCACTGTGAGTACCGGCCACTTTCTCTCGCTTCAACAACGTCGTGTTTATTTGTTTTCAAGGGTTTATTCATTTATTTATTCCTTCATTCATTCGTTTATTTATTTATTTGTTGTTGTTTTGTTTATTCAGTCCTCTATTTATTAATTAATTTGTTTGTTTTTATTGATTATTCATTCACTTATCTATTTATTTATTTGTTTGTTTGTTTTTATTCATTATTCATTCACTTATCTATTTATTTATTTGTTCATTTATCTATTTATTTATTTGCTCATTTATCTATTTATTTATTTGTTCATTTATCTATTTATTTATTTGCTCATTTATCTATTTATTTATTTGTTCATTTATCTATTTATTTATTTGCTCATTTATCTATTTATTTATTTGTTCATTTATCTATTTATTTATTTGTTCATTTATAGACTATTTATTTGTTGCGTATCATGCAAAAAAAAGTTGTTCTTGGTTTGTTTGGTGGACAGGTTTTTTTTTTGGGGGGGGGGGGGGGGGTGTGTGTGTGTGTGTGTGTGTGTGTGTGTGTGTGTGTGTGTGAAGGTGTATTGTATTACAGAGGCCATTTTCAAGGCTTGTCGCTGCCCTTTGCTCCCTCTGTTGTTTCTGTCTGCCTGTTTTGCCCCCCCCCCCCCCCCCCTCACAGTGCTAAATGACCATCATTGTTTTAATGAACGTCTCTGATTGACGACGGGTGCTCTGGTGTAGTCTGCTCCATCTTTCCTAGCAAACAAACATCATCCTTATTATCTGTCCTCCTTCTTTTTTTTGGGTATTTGTTTCTCTCTTGTAACACCTCTGATCTTCAACACTCGTATGACCTAAATTGTGTTGCAAGGGATGTAAATTTGAATCAAACTGAACTAAATTACAGTTGATTGTTTTGATGTCCCCCTCTTTGCTCAAGGAATGAACAAACTACTTTGTACTGACTTCCTTTTTCTTTGCCTTCCCCACAGAAATTGTACGTGTTTCTGTTTGACAAAGTGGTGGTCATCTCGCGATCGACCAATCAGAGCGGGCGACAGATGTACCAGGTGTACCGGCAGCCAATCCCCACGTCAGAACTGCTGGTGGAGGATCTGCCCGACGGGGAGGTCAAGATCGGCTCTTTCCGCAACGCTTTTGGTCAAGGCAGCCAGACAGGTAATTATAATAATAATAATAATAATAATAATAATGATAAATTGCATTTGTATAGTGCATACCCCTGCTCAACAGCAAGCTCTATGCGCTTTACACTAGTTATTACCGCAGCAGATCATAAAACTCTTACTAAAATTAATCAGAACTTGAGACTTCTTGGTGTTTATAATAGCGGTATGTATTGTTTTGTGATTTAAAGTGAAGAAACTTATCTGTGTTTATAATAGCGGTATGTATTGTTTTGTGATTGGCAGCGAAGAACCTGATCCGACTGTCGTTCGTGGAGAGCGACAAGGGCCAGTCGCACACGCTGATCGCCAACGACGAGCACGACAAGCGCCAGTGGATGCAGGCCTTTGCCAAGGTCACGAACAACATTGTGGTGCTGCCGGAGAGCAAGAGCAAGGAGAAGCAGCAACAGTTGAGCAGCACCAGCAACAGTAGCTGAGTCAGCAGCACTCGCAGCACCTCTGTGCCATGGGGGGGCTGGGGGTGGGGAGGGGGGGGGGATACATGCTCATGAGAAAGGGTACAGGGATCAGGGATTAATTTTTTTTTTTTAATCTCTCGTCATTCCGGATGTCTGTCTGTGGACCTGTGTTAAATTTGGCTTTTTTCCCCCTCAAGACTCAGTTTGTTCGTTCACACGTGAAGATGTAAAAGTTTCCATCAAGTTATAGAAGACCAAACTATCAAGAGGCTTGCAGAAATTTTCTTCGCAGTCGTTTCTTAAAGATCTTGGGCAGTTTTATGATCTTACGAAATATCAGTCATCCAATTGTTCTGTAACAATGCTTAGATGGGAGAGATATCATTTGTGAAAAAAAATGAAAAGGGAAAAAATGTGAACAAGCTTTAATATGAAATTGTAACTGAAGGCAAAAACTTGTGAAAGTAGAACTTGGATGGTAGTCCACGATAAATGTACACCTGGTTGTTCCAGATGAAAGCTCTTCGCTCAAGGGTTTTGAAATTGACAAGAGTTCTGCAGGCAGACTGATGCTATGTTGTATGTATTCCACCAAATATCATGATGTTTCAATGAGAGCTGGTATTTTGTTGACATTTCAATCACATAGTCATACAGCCATACTTTCAGCCTTCTCTATGATTATGATGCAGATATTTGGCCACATTCATCTGTTCCATCGTATTGTCCGATCTTGTCGCTTCCCTTCACAAATCTGACTGACATTTTTGTCTCATTATCATGCATCATCAAATGAATAACAAGATAAAATTTGTTCTTTTTAATCTAAAGGCTTTGTTTTATGTTCGTGATTGAAGATTTTGTTAAAGCTTCATCAATGTAAGAGAGTGACAAAATTTCAAGCTGCTAGCAAAGTAGCGTGGTTGTCTCTTCTCAGAAAATGTTAGTGTTTATTAAAAGACATTAGTAAAGTTATCAGCTGATTGAAAGTAACCTTCTTTGATCATGTCACGAAGGATAACAAATTGTCAATAGAAAAATGTTATTGTGAATATTAACGGAGTAGGAAAAAAATTTCCATAAAAAATGGCACAGAAGGCGTTCACAAACTGAACGCTCCAGTTGTTCCCACGCACAAACACAAACACATTTCTGCTTTTGATTCCCTCAACAAACATTTTCCTTGTAGTCATCTCAAGCTGACTGAAGGGAAATTCTAAAATGTAATAATTCTACTCTACTGTAAAACTACTCAGAGGTTTCTATCTCTAAGTCTTTGGTGTAACAAAGAATGATTTTATCCACATTTTGTAGATCTTCCCCGAAAACTTAAAAAAAAAATCATTTTTGAGAAAAGGAATTTTCAAAAATTAATTCCATATAGTGAAATGAGTTGCCCTTCTCATACAAGGGTAAGTTTTTAGTACTGGATAGAGGGGATGTTTTAATGATATGTGACAAAAAACATAATTGCTACATTCCTTTAGGGTTGCCAGTGTGGCCACAGACCGCATGGACTATTCCATGGGAGTGATTATCCCATCTCTCCGCGCTCTAAAATGTCAACATGTGTGGACGTTTTGTTCTTCCAAATAGTCCTGCGGACTGGAAAAAAAAAGTCCCTACAAACTGGCAGCCTGAAGAATAGATTGTATATTCTAATATATCACCCAAAGTTCTAGCACAAGGTTTTACGTTACTGTGTACCAACACTGTATGTAGACTACAGCTTTTACCATACTGGAAAATTTAATCTTTTAGCAGTCTTAGAATTTAGTTTTCACAATAGCATCGTCATATTGTTTGTAGATTATGTATATATATATACATCTATGTACGTTTTTTACGCTGGTTGTCTGTGTGTCAGATAATTTTCTAAGATATGCTCAAACATGATTTTTATAACTGTTTTTGTTGTCAAGAGGACACACTTGCAAAGAATGTCACCCACTTCTCATATAACGGTTGCTGTTGTTTTTGATTTTTTGTAATCAGCTGATCCCCATACCTTCTGCTTACATTTTTTTTAACGTACAAGTACAAGTTCAGACTATGTAAGGTTTTTTTTGTTTGTTTTTCATCATGGAAGATGCTGTCATAGAATGGATTTTTCCTTTTGTCGTTCTCATTAGATACAAAATTATTGGGTGTCGTGTCAGTTGCTGTAACTTTACTTGAAGTACAAAATCTTGATTAACGTCTTTCTCTGACGTGTTATGAACGAAAGGTGTAGGCGAATGAACAGAGAAAAATGTCACCGCTGGATACTGCAAGTCTGAGGTGTGCTTGTGAGCTTCCTCATAGCCTTTTCCCCTTCTTTTATCAAGAGTTGCATGAAATCATGAAATGTTTTTCCAGCTAACTGCTAAAAGGAAAAAAAAATTGGTTGAGCTGAAATTTAGAACACAACTGCTGAAAATGGTATGAAGGGATTTTATTGATTAATTTTTTATTTATTTATTTATTTTGCAATTGTTATTTCCATTTTAACTGGCATCGTTGTTGTAATACTACAGAAAGTGCAAGTTTTGTTTTAAATTTTTAGAATGAGATTTTGACACACAATATTACTTGCTGATAAGGATGAGTGGAGGAGAGATAGGTGGATAGAATAGAAAAAACAATGCTTTAACTTATTCTGAGTTGGTGACTTTAGAGGTCACGACAGACTCAAGCAGGATTTTATTTTTAGATCGAGCTCCAGCGGTGGTTTTGTTGTGTACGTTTGTAATTTATTTGATCCTGATTTTTTGGGGGGTATTTGTTGAAATGGCACATAATTTTGGTCTTGCGATGTAAATAATTTCCAGGGCTAAGTTATTTTACATAAAGTTTATAGTAGGATTGTGCCAGGTTGACTGCAGCTCAAGAAAATGTCAGTCACAGTGCGAGGACGAGCGAGTCTTGGTGAATGGCGGAGTGAATGTTGTACAAATTTCTAACTGCTGCTGGGGTTGTTGTTTTTTTACCTTAGTAGAGCTGTGTCTGTTGTAATAGTGTATAGGGGGCTGTTCTTTTTTGCTTGAAAAGTTTGGATGATTTAATGTAAGATGAAATAAGAGATACGGTAATACTTTATTGTCTCACAGAGAAATTTTCTTTTGGCTGTACAGGACCGTAAAAACACATGCAGGTATACGTAGAAATTAAGTTATATATATTACTCTCATTAAAGTTCAATATTAAAAGAAAGGTAAAACTGAAAAGTAAAGAAATCCAGTCTTCTTCACCGAATCATTCAGTTGTTTTGGTCCTTACCACTTTGCCATCTCAAGGCTCTTATCATAAAAACTTTTACCGGCAAAGGCAAAGGCATTTTGATTTGGGGGAAAATCCCAAGAAACTGAGTGGAAGACATCGGCGAGATGGGACGTCAAAGTGTTAAAGTAAAAGCCGCATGTTCTGAGACGTGTTGCCTCGGCCTCTCCTACAGTGAAAAGTAAGAATGGGGGGAACTTTGAGATATAAAATGGGTCCTGGGCGGACAGAGTAAAAGTAAAAGTAATAGTCTAACTCAACAAATAGCTGTCTTGATTCAGGGGGAAAGAATAAAGACACGCCTGTTGGCTCAGTCAGCATGATGGAGTTTTGTTTGTGCGAAGACGTTTACTTTTCCCGTGTCCATCCAACGTTTTTCTTGCCTCAAGTTTCAGCTCGGATACTTTTTTTCATCGTAAGGACGTTCGTCTAAATTTTCGACAGTAAAGGGATGTAAATTTTTTTTTTTTAGTAAATGTTTAGCCACAATGGGTAAGGTTTTCTCCCCTTTCCAGAAGCACTTTCTGCTTCACCTCATGATAATGGCAGAGTAACTTATGTTGAAAAATACGGCCGAGCCGGTAAGATTCACTGCAGCTGAGGGCATTGTTAGTTTTATTTTGTTATGGTTTTTCAAGAATCTTTCTCTCGTGGTTTTTGTAGAGGAAATGGAATTGATTTGAGTCGTCTCAACTCAAACTGTATCATTCCATTTTATTATTATTTTTTTAATGTCATAAATATAAGAATTTGGATTTATTGAATATGTTTTGTGTAATGTTTTTGTTGTGCTCCTAAGTCTGGAGGCAACACATGAACAAGATACGCAAGTTTTTGTAAGTTTTAATCCGAAAGGACCCTTTGTCAATTTACAGGTTTTAAAAAACTGACTGACATATCATTCTGCTTTAACCGCTTCTCAAGGACAATTGTCTAGTTAGCGAAGATGCGACTCAGGTTCCTGAAACATTAGTAAGCTGAGTACATTCAGTGTAAAATGGTGCTTCAGACAGTTGTGTTTAAACTGGGTGTTTGTTTTTTTGTTTTGTTTTGTTTTTGTTTTTTTGTGGGGGGGAGGGGTTGATTGTTTTTTTCTTTCGTGTGTGTTTGTATTTTTCAGTTTGCATTATTTGCCTTTTGTGTTGTTCTTCATGTCTTGATGATGTGTTTGTAAGTATTTAATGATTCAATTGATCCAATACTGTGCATGTGTGTATTGGATCAACTCCATTGTTCAACAAGAGACAGTTCCACAGTGCCACCACGTACAACAGTGCTTTTTCTTTTTTCCTCTTCCATTTTTCCCCCGTGTATCATGTCTCTCATCATACTTCATACACTTTTCTGTAAATATTTTCCAACTGTTTCTTCTTTCTTTCACTGCCATGTATGCCAAACATGCCGTTTCTTGTAACGTTACTCTGGTGTTCATGTCATCTTCCAACCATCAACTCTTCCGTGTAGTTTCAATGTTATCTACTGTTGTCTACTGTCTCTGTGGTCTGGGCCATAACTGCAGCTACCTATAGTAATATAATGATCGTGGCATAATTGATAAAAATGCAAATTTTTATTTTTTATTTGAAATGGATAAATTTGTCTCTTTCATTCCTGTCCTCGCATAATAGTAATAGATGTTTGTCTCTCCATCATTCCTTTTCTAGGTTTATTAATCTCGTTTGTTTCTTTTATCATTCCTAGCTCAAAGACAGAAAATCACAACTCAGTTTTCCTTCTGTCATTCCTTTCTTTGCATACTCTCATCATTTCAGTGTTGGTTGTTCATCTCATTGTCTGACAACTTTCTTCCAATTCCAATGGGTAAAGGGAAGGGAGAAACATGGTTCCAAATCGCTGTACAGAAATGTTGAAAAGTTTTTCCATCAAGGTCTGGATGAAATGGATCTGAGAGGAAAGGTGGGGGAGGGGGATGAGATATTTTATACCGTTTGCTAGGAATGTTTGATGAAGATAGTAATTGTGTTTTTAAAAATGATTAATTTCCCACTACGGAATCTCCAAGATTCTCTATATGCTTTTGTCCTCTCTCTTTGAAACAAAAATCATGTTCTTGTTTTTTTTAATTATTTTTTTTTAAATTATTTTTTTTAAAGTGTACTTTTTTTTTTCTTTTCGTCCATGAAACAGTTATTGCCTTAGTATTTGTACACAGATGCAACTGTGGCAAACGGTGCACACCACCAAAGAGTTTGTGACAGTAGCGTGTTCCACGTGACTGACATGTTGACTCTGCTCTGCGTGCGCAAAGGGAAACCCACGCAAGTCAAAGTCTACATACATACATATAATGACTGAGTTATAGAAATATGCTATCGAAATTACTACTAATGGAGCTAAGGCCAAATATATATAATGATTGATTTATAGAAATATGCTATCGAAATTGTTCCAACAATAATAGAACTTTTGGTGCCAATGATTATCCTAGAGGGCTCCCTGCCTACTCTGGCTGATACTTTTTTAAATCCTTCTCTTCAAGTTATTTTTTCCTTTTTTTGTTTTCTTTCACAATTTTGTTAATGTTGCTCTGTGTGTGACTGCGTGTGGCTTGGGGGTGCCACCAGTAGTTTTCATCTCAATCGCTGGCTGGGTGCAAGAACCCTACAAGTGCCAATTTGCAAATTAGCACTTGTAGGGTTCTTGCACCCAGCCAGCGAACTGCTCTTTCTGTCTATCTGTCTCGTCTTTCTCGCTTTGTCCCACAACTGACGGAGTGTTACTGTGCTGTTGTTCTTCCCTAGTAGTAGTAGCCAGACAAGCTCCGACAAGGATTCCAAAGCCATAGACTGTAGTAGTATAGACGGTGGCCTAATCATATCCCTGTAGTAGTAGTGTCGTGTGTGGTCCTAGTACTGAGTACTCAGAGTCCAGAAAATCGAAATTCAACACCCTGTGAATTTATTTGTTCACTTTTGACTTGAGAAACAAATATTTTGTCATGAACTGATTGGGGTTTTTTTTTTTGGGGGGGGGGGGGGTTGGGTTTTTTTTCATCATTTTGTCATGAACTGTTTGGTTTTTGGGGGATTTTTTGTTGTTTTTTTTTCATCATCAGGGTTTAGCGTGTCATGTGTTATGTACTTTGCTAGCTGGGTTTTCCTTTTGCCGTGTGGAATAAGCCTGAAATTTTCAGATGCCTTGCTCTCTGGTGCTTTCACCAAGGCTCCACTTTGTAGCCCCATCTCTTCCCCCCACCATTATTGTAACGCATTACCATTTTATAACAGTTGAATGATCTGATGTAGATTCACATTGTCAGGTAGCATTTTCTTGTGGGTAACCCTCAACATTGGTACTTAATTGTATGATTAATTGTATGATGGTGTCAAGCTTTGCTTTGTACAGTTATTCTATTTCAAGAACAATACTCAAATGCATCAAATCAGAAACTGTCACGTTCCAAATATCAAAGTCTGTTCGGTCTCGCAGGGAATTGGTTCTGCAGAGAGAAACGAAAGGGAGGAAGGGGATGTTCAGAATGCCCCGTGATTTTTGGAAAGCCTGTAGCTGAAGCAAAATTATTTTTTTTTATAACGCAAAAAAAAACCTGGAAAATTTTTTTTTATAAATGAAGGCGAGATGTTTGATTATTTCTTGCCTCATGTACCTCTTAAGATTTAGATTTGAGTATTTTGAGGTTCTTTACAAAAATTATATGAGTGTTATACATGGGTTTTTTTCTAAGATCAGAAACAGGGTCTTATTTGGGGGGAACATTTGACAGGGGGAAAAAAACGCCTCGTTTTGTTCATCTTTTGTTTTTTCTCCTACCCGCATTGCTTCCTGCGAGACATGAACTTTGTACAAGAGAACCTCACATTCTATTACTGCCTTACTGCCACAGCAGGCGGGGGGGTAGCTGTTGTTCAGGAACGAGATACCTTTCTTTGCTCACAACCTCTGAATAAAGCTATCCCTTATATATATATAAAAAACTGGTTGTTGTTTCATTATATTTTTTTTAGATTTTATGTGTGTGTCTGACTCGTAATGGTGAGATTGGGGGTTCGTGGGTTTGAGCCTCAGCTCGGTCCGACGTTGTGTCCTTGGGAAAGGCACTTTACATGAATTGGCTCGGTCCTTTCAGAGACGGACGTTTAACTCGGAGGTCCCGCCTCTTGACACGGATCATCTGTCGAGGCAACATCTCCAACTGAACACCAATCTCCATTATAAAACGACAAAGTCATAAAAAGGTTGTAGTGATAGCCTCAAGACATTTTTACAATGGGCACTCTGGGTTCTTCAGAGAGATCAGGACGAGTTTTAGTTTAGTTTTAGAAAGTGTTTTACGGCACTTGCAACACAATAAGGTCACATAAGTGCCGAAGATTAGAGGTGTTACAAGAGAGTAACAAACACAAAAAAGGAGGAGGGGAGATAGAGACGATAGATGTTTGATAAGAAAGAAGTAGCAAACCAGACCAGAGCACCCGCCAACCACCCACTGTTGGGGATTCGAACCAGGGTTGCCTCCTGCACCACAGTCCGGGATAACAGCTGCCACAGAGCCAACTACTGTACACCTGACCCATGACAGAAAATTCTTTCTCCACACAAACAGAACAGAACAGAAGAATGCCAAGACAGTTTTGGAAGTTTCAATTTACAACAGTTTCATAATTCTGAACAAAGAAATAACGATGGTCACCAGGGGTAACAGTGAGAGACTTAACGTTCTCTCCAACCAACCATGGCCTTCTTCAGTTGTGGTAAGTAACACTACCAACAGAAGAAGGCAAAGACAGAGTACTTTGTCATACGTATATATACATATCATATACATTACAACCACATCAATAGTGTCAGGCACAGATGGGCCAACTCCAAAATGTTCCAAAACTTGACTTGTGGCAACACTGCAAAAATAGGGTAAAATACATCATCTCTAAATCTAGGCAGTTTAGTGAAAATTTCAAATTTGTCTGATATGCTTTGAAATACTTTCATTTGAAAGCTCTTGCCTTCATGATCATAAAACAGTTTAAATTTTATTGATATCTTAATTAGTTAAAAAGTTATGGCAATTTTTCATGCCTAAAATCCGGCCAATTTCCATTACTCTACACAAATGTCCATTACTCAACACAAATGACCATTACTCAACACAAATGACCATTACTCTACACAAATGACCACTACTCAACACAAATGACCATTACTCAACACAAATGACCATTACTCAACACAAATGACCATTACTCAACACAAATGACCATTACTCAACACAAATGACCATTACTCTACACAAATGACCATTACTCAACACAAATGACCATTACTCAACACAAATGACTATTACTCAACACAAAATGCATATTTTTTAAAGTGTTGTACATCAGTTTGTTGGGAATTTTACACAGAATGCACACAACTACAAACCCCTCTTTACAAAGTCACAGAAATATTTTTTGGGTACTTCTAGAGGTTCAGGGTGATAAAAAATCCCCCGCAAGGATAACCCGAAATGGACAAAATGGGCTATATCTTTGCTGCTAATGGTCATATTTAGACAAATCATACATCATTCTCTTTGTCTTTTTTCACTGTTCATAATTATTAAAGAGTTAAGCCAATTAAGTAATAATTTCCAATTTTTATGGCCATTCTTAAGATTCCAAAACGTATTTTTAGTGTTTTTCTATCCGTTAAACGGATTCCGTAAAAAAAAACAACCTCTTAATGACCGCCATAAGTCAGCTCCCTATCCTTCTTTTACAAAGTATTGTAACATACATTTGTGAGACGCTATATTTTATGCTTTCAAGTGCACAAAGAGCTTATAAATTCAAGAAAAATGCTCTTCGGAGACCTAGTTGTAGACCCACTGGAACATTTAATAAACTGCAGAAAGATGACCAGAAAATAACAAAGTCATTTTATGATCTTCACACAAGTTGCACTTGCAAATTTTTGGACAAATTATATTTATAGTCTACCTCATTCTATTATTTTTTCACACATGTTTCTTCACT